AGGAGGTTAGACAAAAAATAAAAAACAATATCTCAAACTCATGATCAAATTGCTCTTTGCCATTATAATAGGCGATTTAATGTCTAGAAGGAAAAAAAAAGGAGATATATAAGAAGCATTAAGGAAGACAAATAGTTTGCTTTTGAAAAGGAAGCATGTCAATTTTTAATTTCATCTTGCCCAATCTCAATGATGAAACGTCAAAACAACATAGAAAAACAAATCATAGTCAAGCAAGTACCTCCACCTATCTTCCCTTCTTTGTCCTATCAAATGCTGCCCACTCAACCTGCAAAATTCAATAAGTCAGTCTGATACAAAGAGAAGAACTATATTGAGATCCAAACACAAAGGAGAAACTATATCTGTATCATAGTCTAATATATAATAATTGACAGTAGCACATTATCAATTGCAATGTATGTTCGAACATTTGCGAGAGAAATATAAGAATAACCATCCAAAAACAAATTGATATGTAGACAGTTAATCAGTTAGTCAGCCTAAAAAAGTAAACATTTAAGTATATATTCACCTGTCACCGCCAAAAAACTAAATAGAATCCAATTTCTTTTATTTAAGTAGTTGCTAATGTTAAAAAGGATTGACATATGTAAGAAGCATAATCTAGTATATAATATATAAAAACTGAGAAGAGAAACACTGAGAAACATAGATTGCTTATCAACTTTAACAGGTTTTGGCCAACAGGCTCAGTATTCAAGTCAGATTCCTTCATTGGTTAATTTGGTTTCCTATATCTTCAACATACACAACCACCCAAACCCAACAGCAAGTATTAACCAAAGAAATAACAATCAAACACATTTACCATGTAGAAGTACCCACAGCACATGATGATGCATAACAGGTTAAGAAAACAAAGTACCCACAGCACATGATGATGCCATTCTTTTCCTCAAGCTTCTTTTTTTTCACCTCATTTACCAAAAAATTAAATTGGACACCTAGCATTTATAATTCTCTAGCCAAATCAAGCAAGAAAATAAAATTAAGAGATATCATAACATAGGAGAAATAAATAAAACATACTTAAAACCTCCAGGGTGCAGTAGCCAATCCACTTAAATGAAATAAGTTGCATCTGAAAAGGCCAGACTTCTTCATGACAAAGAACAACAATGGAGGCATCATAAAATGAGAATACATTAAGGACAGCAAACCTAAAAAACTACTGCAGGCTGTAAATGGGATTAAGCATCAAGAAAAGTGGATTAAGTGAAACGAAAATACACGATCTTTTATCGATCAATAACAAAATGGAACAGCCTGCTAGTCATAATAACTATTAAAACAAAGACCAAACATCATTTCTCAAGAACATGTTAACCCCCCTCCTGAAAACATTTCTTTAAGGCTAAAAAAATCACAAATTAGATGGATTCAATCAAATTCAACCCCTTTTCTAAACTCTATCAAATCTATCTCGACCTCTTATTTTCTAAGTATAAATCCAACTGCCTTCACCACTGAATAAACTCATTCACAAACATCCTTACATCAGCAAATGATTTAAAAGATAGAAATAGTAAAGCCAACCAAAAAAAAAGGCAAAAAACAAAGAGACACTCAAACTTATGTAACAAACTAGCTGGACAACCCCGTGTTGCAGCATGCGGGACCAAATAGTAAAGAAATTACAATTTTTAAGGAAATAGTAAGAGTGACAGAAAAAAGAGTTTTTTTTTTTTAGTAAATAGAATATATGCTTGAAAAAATAAAGAAATTACATCAGCAATTTCTGGGAATTCAAACCCAGTAAGTTTAAAATACTGATCTTAACATTGTAAGAACAAATACTTGCACAGAAATAAAATTGTTATT